AAATTCGCGTAACGTTATTTTTGTAATTTAGCCAAATCATACTGACGGTTTATAATTCACTTTTCAATGTTTAAGTAGAAGTAATTTATGCCATGTAATGTTTCATTAGCTTGAAATAAGCGGCTGTTTTGATCACTCATTACGTAAGCTCATTTTAACTATTATAACTTTATTGATATCAATGCCATATACAGATAAGAACACTCAGAATGTACACCCAATATTATGAAAAGTATAATACAAAATGCATTGTCACGAATTATCTTATGCTAATATGGCCAACAATCAATCCGAGATAGTTAATAATGGAATTGTATTCGCGCGAGTTAAAAAATAAACGAGCACATCAAACGAAATCATTCTTCTCTCATTAGCAGCATCTAATTTTATTTATTCTAATATATAAATGCCACATCTTATATTTAATAACATGAGAGCTGCGCTCCTTTACATTTCACTTTTGTTTACAATGTCCATCCATGTTAGCTGTTTTCTAATGAATCTTTATTTGCAGCTTTCAGAACTCACTAAACTCTCGCTCGTTAGTTTTGTAGTAATTGATTTATTGCTAGAAATTTTATCTGTGATACTTTGAATTGTCAGACTAGCAGAAAATTAGAGTTTATTATTTCCAAATGGAGCTTAATTTGCCTTTTGGAAAACAAGGGTGGATATATAATAGTAAAACTTAGAACATTTAAGTACACGTGAAAGTAATGTCAAGACCATTACTTGTATAGAATATTTCAACTAGTCCTGTAAATACAATTCAAATAGAAAATGACCTTATCTTGAAATAAAAATAATAACAAGTGACAATATATTTGATCCAACTCAATTATATAATTGGTAAGTTATTAATTCAATGTTACCGTGATGACAAACTTTTAAACGCATATTGAAAAGAGCTGTTATGATTGTAATCGTTTTGATGTAGTAAAGTTATTGGATGGATCAAAAGTTTGAAATGTTTCTGTGTATTTAACTCTTTAAATACCACGTTTATAGATAAACTGCTGTTATGTTAGAGCAAAACTCCACAGTGGGATATCTGTGCTCTGTTCACAGCGGGGAATCGAACCCCGGATTTTAGCATTATAATTTCGTAAACTTACTACTGATCCACCGGGGAACTATAGATAAACAACTGTATCATAGTCAGCCTTATATTTCGATACACGATAAATCAAGTTTAAGATATATTTTTTACTAGTTATGTGAAATTGTTTAGAATTTAGAGTTTACAGCGTTATATGTGCCTATGAATCTCATTATTCTCTTTCATTTACTGTATCTTATACACCAGCATGCCCCTGTCTCTACTGGTTTACTTATTTAGTCTTTCTCTCACTCTTTCTATCTATATATTTTTTTCTATACATATGTATATATATATGTATGTATGTATCTCCCCATCTTTAACTAATAAATATGCAATAAAAAGTAATTCTTGGAAAGCGGATTGTTTTCTTTGTATAAAACATTAACCACCTTTTTTTGAATACTGTTTAAGAAAAACGCTCAACTTTTATCCTATGGAGACCAATTACTGTAAAATTAATGACATCTTATGATCACTATTTTATCTATAAATTATTATTTTTTTAAATTTATTTTGCAAAACGACGATAAACGTAGATCGTCGTCTTGATGAAACGCCACTTTTATTAAACAGGCTCTACACTGTATGCACATATATATATATATATACTTTGTTTTTAATGAAAAGGCAGCTTTTTATCCTATGTGATTACTTAAAGTGGGGAATTAATCTTTTATTCATATGGTTATCTTTCATTTTTAAACAGCACAGTATATTTGACAAACTTAGATTAGCCGAATATGCGAGAGAAAAAGTAAAAATTCCGTAAAAATGAAAACGAAGCTAACGAATCCCGTTATCCAAACTTAAACTTTCAACGCATAAATGTGCAAACATATAATAGAAGGTCTCAGTTCAGTATTTCACGACTTTTTAAAACTAGATTGAGATAAAAAATGCAATTTTACTCTGTGGTACATTCAAATAAAAATCTACATTTGTTTGTATAGAATAAGCTATGAAGAGTTTTAGATATTTTTTCAAAATTACGCTTGATTGCTGTGACGTGTGATTTTAATCAAGTTTTATTGCCGTTGACATCTAGCTTGAAACATATATTCAACGTTTTCCAGAGCTCAGTAAGATAATGCTAGTAACGTAATTGTGCATATTTTCGCGCTTTACAAAGAAGACTATGTTTTACTTCTGTAGCTTCGCATTTGTGAAATATTGTTGAAGGCGGGAACTTTAATACTCAGTGAAGTTTTGGGGGTATATTAGGTGTTAATGTCAGCTATTCTTACATAAAATATTAACTACTTGAAATATGAAGTCATATAAGGGATTTTAGTGCTTTGGGTTAAAATTCTTATGAGCAAAGTCATGATAAACATATGTGCACCTTTACATTCATAATGTCAGAAAAACACGTAGGTTCAAGAAGTCTTGATACAAAATGATAGAAATCCTATAACTCGAGCGCTTTCGAAAGGTGGACCTTCCTTCTTCAGGGGCAAACTAGGAACAGTGTGCACCTTTACAGATACCATGACGAATCCAGTTACCCCTATAGTAGCAATGTGATCCGATATGTAACAGAATTATTAACATACCCAAACTTCTATTTTGATGAAATTACAATAGTTATATTGTATTTGAAAAGATAGCTTTTATATGCGGAAACATCTGTTAGCTGAGTTATTGCACAGATCTTTGAATATAACGTTGATAAATGGAAACATCGGCACACGTAGATCATGAAAGTTGAATTGTTCAAAACTTGAAAATAGCGTTGATAACTGGACCAATCGTTGGCTGAGATGTTGCAAATGAAATATCTGCTCAAGCTTTTCGCCAGACACTAATCATAGCAGAACCGT